GAGAGAGAAGCAGACTTTGGGTGGGGGGGAGAGAGAGAGAGGCAGACCTGGGGAGAAAGAGTGTTACCGGCAGTCCTTGGAGGAGAGATAGAGTAACAGGCAGTCCTGGGGAGAGTGAGAGAAAGAAAGAGAGGGAAATGGCAGGCACGGTGTAAACACAGGGCTAACCATACAGATATCTTAGTCATAATTTTATATAGTCAGTAAGAGATCCTCTATTTAAAATATATAAATAATTGAGAATACAATATAACGTTTGTTTTGTCTTTTAGATATTTTATTATATAAAAATATGAATATAGACATATAAAATCCATTACAATAATTGATAGCAGAGTTTATAAGATTAAACTATATGCTTGCAGTATTTTAATAGATTAACATACCCTTCTGAACATGCCCATAACAACGGTAAGAGAGAGGGACATGCAGACCAGGAAGGGCGTAAAGGAAGGATGGGTAGACCTGGATGAGAGAGACAGGCAGACATTGGAAGAGATATGGACAGGCAGACCTGGGGGGAGAGCAGTTACTAGCACACTAGGATGAGAGAGGGATTAGAGGAACTTGCAGATTTGGGGGACAGAAGGGACAAATTCAGGTTGAGAGGTACTGGACAATCTGTAAGAGAGGCAACAAGACGTCTTGATGACACATAGGCATACAGTGTTTATGATGGATTTAATATACATGTAATTTGTATTACTTTCTTTTTCTTGTTTCTTTTTTTTTTTCTCAGGTTCTGTTTTTGTTTTTTTTACTTCAAGCTTTTTCTTAAACAAATAAAATAAACTTTTATGGACTACTCTGGATAATGAATCCCTCCTGAGCATCTTTTACTGGAAGCAATCCTTATTTGGATTTTATGTTACAGGAAAAGGAATGTTTAGTCTGATGGCGAATTGTTGCAGTTGGTTAAAACGCTGGCGGGAACCAGTGAGGTAAGCTACAGAACTGTCATTAAGCTTTATTTGCTATATCCCCACAATTTACAGTTAGAGGGAGGTGTACAACCTACAACTTCCCTTTAAACTGGCTTTAAAGAATACTCCATGTACTGTAACTAACTATGCTCCTTCAATATGTTATGATTTAAGAATGGTACATTGACACTTGTCTTTGTGCACAGATACCTGGAGCTACAGTGATGTTGCAAGAATCACTGCAATTATTAAAATCCATTGCTCACAAATGTCATAGAACAGGGGTAGGCAACCTTTGGCAACTGCATCTCTCCTTATGCTTTGCCAGCATTATGTCTGTGAGAGCATTATGGAAGCTGTAGTCCACAACATCTGGAGTGCCGAAGGTTGGCTACCCCTGTCATAGAAGAAAACATATATGTCTCCATGCCCATCTAAATGTTAGTACAGTGTCCGTCATGTAAATCCTCACTTTTTGTAAAAAAAATAAAATAGTAAAATAAAAGCTTCTTCACATTAGACTGACATTATCTGCTAATATATATATATAAATTACAAACATAAGCCTTGTATGTCTTTTTCTTTTCATTTTAAAGGAAAGTGACTTTGGTAATGGTGGGACTTGATAATGCTGGAAAAACTGCAACTGTGAAAGGTATTCAAGGAGGTAAGCATATTCTCTATATCATTTTTTTTCATTTCGAGGTATTTCTAAAATCAGCTTGAAAGACTTCAATTTTCTGCAGCTGTTGCAAGCTCTCTGTTTTTGTCCACCACAGATTTTTAGTCTGTGTAAGGGAATCCTCCAATCAGAAGTTTATCATTCCGCAGAGAAAATGCAATGTTGACATTGCGGGGATAACACAACCCATAGTGGCTGTTCTCCAAACAGCCACTAGAGATGCTTTTTGACTTTTCACAGAGTTTAACTCTGTGAAATGCCATTGGGTGTCCTCACGCACGTCATAAGGACGTCCAGAGTCTTCAAATTCCCCATAGCAAAGCATGCTTATTAGATTCCCCCCATCGATCCAGCAGCAAGGGACCTCAGCATTGGAGTCAGTTAAGTGAAAGAAAACATGGGGGCCCTACAGAAAAAGAAATGCGGGCACTTTTACTTTTTGGTACTAATATAGTGTTTATATTGCTAGGCATCTCTGGCTGTGTTCCCCAGCTTTTTGTCATTGTGTTTTCAAATGCTTTAACATAAACTGGGGCTCTGCTTTACAAGGCCTGGCTTCTAAGCCCCCAATGATTGATAATGCAGAAGGTTTATTCCAGCCTTGGATGGCAATTACAGGCTGTGAGTTAAAATACCAATTCTCTTAACAGTTCTTCATAATTCCCAGTTCAGTGAATAACCTAATCCGTGTTGGCTTAATTGGTTTAAATATTTTGTTTGTTTTATACAAACAAAAGCAATCAAAACAAATCTCTGGGAAGCAACAATAGTTTTTCATAGCATCAGCAATGCCTGTGGCTAAATAAAATAGATTTAGCAACTGCAAAAACGTAGGAAAACAAACCCTGTGTCTTGTACTTGTTTACAGAAATGCACAAAGAATCATTTTGTTTGATCTTGTTACAGAATCACCCGAAGATGTGGCCCCAACCGTTGGATTTTCAAAAGCAGACATTAAGCAAGGAAGATTTGAAATCACAATATTTGATCTAGGAGGTGGGAAAAGAATCCGTGGGATCTGGAAGAACTATTATGCTGAGTCCTATGGAGTGGTGTTTGTTATTGATTCTAGCGATGTGGAGAGGATGGAGGAAACAAAGGAAACAATGGCAGAAGTTCTGAGGCACCCCAGAATATCAGGAAAACCCATACTGGTGTAAGTAATGAGTTTCTTAAAGCAAACACACCTTTTTATTAGATAACAGATTATGAATGCTGCTGTATTATTGCGGTAATTGGCTGGTTTCTTATGGTGCAGTACCGGAATTAAATTTAGTATAAAACCTTTTATTTTTTAATAATATACGTCTTTTTTTGCAAGACTAAACTGTACCAAGAGTTATAAAGTAGCTTAAACAGAAAATGTATTCCATGTGGAATCTGGGAATAAAATATTTAATTGAGTTCTCTGTCCCCTGTATTGTCAATACTTGTCTGGGTTATGTGTATGCAGCCTATGATGGCTTCAGATAAGACTTAACATGAATCTGAGTGATGGAATTTAGGTTATAGCAGCTGGAATGGATTATCTCTGGACCAGATAGCTAATTAGAACCCATACATTTAAAATAACCTTAATTTATTTTTATAAAATACATATTGTAAAATCAGTGAACAAAAATATTCTGCATACCATTGCTGCCTACAGTACAAATGTTTAAAATTGGGAAAACAATTCCACTTTTTTACAATGTATTTTTGTCCCTTCTTCATGAAAACAAAACTCCAGATTTTGTCCTGGCACCTCTCCTTGGAAGTATCATCGTGTTCTTGTGTGTAGAAAGGGATGGTGACATCAATGCTCAAATGTGCATGCATGGGAAATTATTCATTTGTGGAGGGGGATAGAGAAACTTACATGTGCAGGTTCACAAGTAGAGAATACCAGGGAAGAGTCAGAGGTAAGACATGGTTGATAAACAGACACAGTTTGCAGTAACTGACCTCCCATAATATATTTTTAATGCATTGTATCTCTGAAAAGACCATAGAGAACAAAACACATGCCTTCATGGTTCCTAAAGACATACAGACAAGCATCAGCAACAGGTAGACTCGTCCCTGACCACGAGGGGTCTCCACAAGTGAGAAGCCACTCATTCTGGTCTATGGTGTTCTGATTTTATTCCATATTTGTGCACAGCCAAGTTCAGTTTTATCTACTGAAGCTCTGTGCAGTAATCTTCCAAGCTACAGTGTGCTCATGTAAGTGGCTGTGGCTCTCCTATAGGGGAGGAGAGATATGTGTCTTGATTGTGTGTGCAGTACAAAAAAAATACTACTTTTTACTTGTGAGAATCAGGGTCACAGAGTAATAGCTGCAAATTTGAGAATTGTTGCAGTCACACTCAGTAGGGAGTGGTGTAGGGTACTCTCTGCACTACCTCCTGTGCTGTGATGCTGACGTTCTACAGTGCTTAGTGACCTGTTTAAAGAAAATAAAAATAAATATTAAGCAGTAGGCCTCCATTTGATTCAAAGCTTTCCTATGGGGAGGTCTAATGTGCGCGCGACATTTGCTGCGCATGCGTATTAGCGTCGGTGGGACGTCAGAGGAGGCGGAGCTGCAACCTTGAGGGAGCAGAGCAAGAAGGTCACAAATCTCTCACTGCCTGCCTCCACTCTCCCCCATCAGGGAACCTGCCTCCACTCTCTGCCCTCACTGGACCCCAGGGAATACCGATCCATTCCAGCTCTCCCAAAGTTAGAGAGACTGAATGGACTTGTATTGAATTAAAGCATATACTAATTTGTATTTGTATGTATGTGTCACTCAGTGTGCCTCTGTGTGTGTCTCTTTGTGTCTGTTTGTCAGTGAGTGTATATGTTTAGGTGACCAGCCTCGCTGATCGTGTGGGAATGGTGTTTTTTACTCACTCTTTTTTCCGTCTCTGTGTCAGTCTAACCAAGGGTGGCTCTGCCTCTGTGGCTGAGATCATCAAGCTTGATGATCTCGGCCAATCCAACATTTTCCCATAGAATTGGGAAGCTGTTGCTCATGTGCTGTAAAATGCTGCACCAATCAGCATCTCCTTATAAAGATGCATTCAAACAATGACAAATGCAGAGTGTGGAGACACTGAATGTAGATAGGCATCACTTTAAAGCAAGCATGTCAAACTCAGTCTAGCACAGATCAAATAAATAAGGTTTACATTTATGTGTGCCACAAAAAAAAAAAAAAAAAACTTAAAATTTCATAGAAACTTAGGTTTATTTTCAAAAGTACAATTTAAAAAAACCAAAACACCCCCTTCTACTAAATCCCAGTCCTCCCCATATACTAAATCCCAGTCCTCCCCCTATACTTTATCCCAGCAACCCCCATGGCCAACAAGTAGACTTCACTCATATTGCCGCTGCCAGTATGCGACTCTGGAGTGTGGCATCTGGTATACCCCAAATGGCGCTGTCCGCACCCTGTGTCAAATTGGATCCTCCCGCTACTTCTTGAAACCCTGTGAAGGTGGAGCACGTCGACGTCTCGTTGGAATGTGACGTGGCGTTGCGTGCCTCAGTGCACCTTCAGGTGCAACACTGACCCACACACACACATACTCTGACAGACACACACACATTTACACACACATTTACACACATTTACACATTCTTGCACACACTCACATCATTTTATTTATTTCTACCTACCCTTGGGAGCTGGTGTGGGGCCTCTCCCTGGGGTCGAGTGGGGATCTTCTATCTGGAGATTTCCATCCTGCTCCTCACTGCTCTCTCGCTCGCAGTTTAGTGATGCCGGGTGCCGGAATACGACATCATATGCCGGCATCACTACAGACGGCGCGTGCAAGGGGGCAGTGAGTAGCAGGAAGACCGAGGTCCGCCAGCGACCTCTCAGAGTCCCAGCCGGGTAAATTTTAGCAGAGTAGGCATCTGCAGTGTGGAGAAAGCAGGTGCCTACTCTGCTTTAACACTAAGCATATACTCGCGGCTTGCCGGGCCGCAATTGAGGGCCTCGAGTTTGACATGCTTGCTTTAAATGGACACTGTAGGCACCGAGACCACTTCAGCTCATTGAGGAGGTCTGGGTGCTGTGTCCCTTTTGCACCTAGTGCAAGCACTAAGTCTGCCCTCAGTGGCTGTCTTCTGTCCTCACGGATATCCAGCGTCAGATTTTTCCCCATAGGAAAGCACAATGCGTTCCTAAGCGGAGGTCTAATGCGTGCATGGCATTTGCCGCGCATATGCATTAGGCCCTGCTCGTCGCTGGACCTTGGGCAGGGCCTAAAGGGTTTTAACCCTTTATTTACCTGGGATGGGGGGAGGGGTGGGCACGAGGGAGGGGGGAGGCAGAGGGATCGGTTGTGCAGCACCCCTAGAGACAGAAATGCATATTTCTCTTTTTATTTGAGAATTGCATCCTGAGTATTTTCTCACAGAGTTATTCAGTAAAGTTAGAATTCGAAGTAGTAGGCCCAAAAGCCAAAGTAACCCAATTGGAAGGATAACCGATTTTGAGAATGTTTCCAATTTGGCATTTTTCACCTTGCATTTGAGATTCACTTTGAATTCTCACTTAAATAACCCTTTTAGCATTTGAATTGTATGCCAGGATTTGCTTGTCTTCAGTGTACAGGAATTGCAATGATTGGAGACTTTAGATAACGTCTCATAAGTCTTTCATAACGACATAATGACCTATTTAGTTTTTAGAAATAATATTGGCAATTTAAATATATAAACAGCATGTCAGGCACACATTATTTATCATTGTAAAAAAACATATTCCATACTCCATTTTTATTTTTTACATTTTTATGGCAAAGAAAAACTACCCTCCTCTCCTCATTTTTACGGTGATTTTCTAGATCTTCCTATCTCTACACAGGAACATGTGCTGGCACTCAGAGAAGATCTTTTGTCCGTAATAAACACAGGAACATGTACTGGCACGCAAGGAGACTTTTTTTTGCCCCTAAATCTCCCAATAGTAAATCATATAGTAGACATCTGCAACTTCACTTCTTCGATGGCTAAAAGTTCCATTTTGTTAATGCTGGAACATGATTATTAACCTCTTTGAATGTAAACTGAAGATCTAAAATTCATGGCCAAATGCCATTACAATTTGTGTCTTTGTTTGGTGTCAAATTTTAGAGTGATTTGGCAGGACTTACACAGTCATAGGCCAATTGACACTGATTAGTTTGTTATGGCCCTGGGAAGGTAATCATTGCTTCCTGATATATACCCTATGTTAGCGTGGGTTTGTTTTTATTTATTCTTTTTGTAGAATCAAGTTTCTCTGTAAGTAGAGATCTGAATAACTTTCCCGCAATGATCAAATGGAAAATATATTTGTTATCAAGTCAATTGTTTGTTTTTAAATACATTTATTAGCAATAATACTCACTTTGGTGCGTAATAATAGTCTGTAACCTTTTAAGGCAAAATTATAGAATTTAAATATGGCTAAATAATATCTTTGCATTATTTGCCTTGAATTATTGTCCTGTGTGTCACTGAAACATAATGGACACTTAACCCCCCAGCACCCCAGATGAGATGTGTGTGTAATTAATATTGGGACCAAGAAAAATTTAATTTCTCTTAAAGGACCACTCTAGGCACCCAGACCACTTCAGCTTAATGAAGTGGTCTGGGTGCCAGGTCCAGCTAGGGTTAACCCATTTTTTTCATAAACATAGCAGTTTCTCTGAAACTGCTATGTTTGTGAATGGTTAAGTTTTCTGTTCTCTAGTGGCTGTCTCATTGACAGCTACTAGAGGGCTATGCTTCTCACTGATTACAGTGAGAGCACGCTAGTGCCCAGGGCATTATGAATGCTTTCCTATGTGTGACCGGCTGAAGGCAGAAGCCTTGCCGCTGCACATTCAGACTACTTATCGGCATCTACAAGGAGGAGGAGGAGGAGGAGGAGGAGAGCTCTCCGCCCAGCGCTGGGAAAAGGTAAGTTTTAACCCCTTTCCCCCTTCCAGAGCCGGGCGGGAGGGGGACCCTGAGGGTGGGGGCACCCTCAGGGCACTATAGTGCCAGGAAAACGAGTATGTTTTCCTGGCACTATAGTGGTCCTTTAAAGAGCATAAGACAAGGCATTACAACCAAATAAATGTTTTCTTTTTTAGAAAGGCTAATAAAGCAGAATCTGACCTTATTGGATTATTGTTACTGTTTATTGTTGTTTTTAATACGGATCGTCCAGAAACCTCTCTGTGCCCTGATTAAGAAAACATTCTAGTACCAGAGCGGTTTGTTGAGCATGGAGTGATTCTTTAAGCTTGTAAAACATGGTCCTTGTATGTTTCACTGTAGAGTTCAATTACATAAACATCAAAATCTTGTTCTGTTCCTCGTTAGCAACAAGGGAAACAACAGCAAAATAGTGTTTTGCATGGGTTTTTCTTTTTCCATTTAACTGCCTGTTTAAATGTTTCATTTGATCTCTGGACGTGATCTTCTGTCTTTTTGGTAACCATTTCAATATTCTCAATCATTTCACCTTGTTCTTCTACTAACTGAGAAATCTGGAAAAATATGTCTTTCAGTTCCTTCATCTGATTTTCTAAACTCCGCAACTCTCTGTGTCTCTGCTCAATCTCCGATAACTGTGCCTTAGTGATCTTTACATCTGTGAGCAGATTCTCATTGAAGACATCCCACTGGCCTTGTTCCACCATCGTGTTGATCTCCTCTTCAGATATATCTTTTCCAGCTACTTCGAGCTGCCTTCTAATAAACGTTTTACATTTGTCTTGCTTTCCTGTAATTGTTTGGTTGTATTGGAGCATGGCATTTTGAAAGTTTTTAAAGAGGGCAGCATGCTGGGTCTTTAGAATCCTGGAGAGGCCCGATGATGCACCACAGTCTGCTTCTGCCTTTCTAGCGTGCTGAGCTAACAGATCCAGTCGCTTTTTAATGTTCTCAGTCTGGAGTTTGATGTCCTTTGTAATACTGCTGTCCTTTTTTAGAACGCTGAATCGTCTCATTGACGACACAAGTATTTTTTGCTGCTCCCCAAATTTTTTTACGTTTTCAGAAAGCTGGTTGATATCCTTCTGAATTTTGTGGATTTCATCCAAGTAGCTTTGTAGGATAGGCTCTTTTTCAAATATAACCGCCTGCTGCCTTATCTCAAGTGGTTCACTGTTGTCTGTCAAAGTGCATTCAGGTGTTTTTGATGACTCTGATTCTAAATCTTTTGCTTTCTTAATAAATTCTTGAAGTCGATCTCTCATTTTTGCAGTTTATGTACCAGATTATGTGTAAACGCCAATATTCTAAGAAATGTAAAAAAACAAGGGTTCATTGTTAGTATTTCAGAAGTAAGATTTAAAAATAAATAAATAAAAGTACAATGCAAGAACAATGCAAACACCTGGGAAGATGTTGACGATGCAGAAAACATCTGGAATGTTAACACCCAGACATGATTGTCTCAAGGATTTGTTACAATGCATCCCATGATGCTCAGTGATTGCATTAGCTCAGCAGATCTTTTTGCAAACTACCTGCAGACACCTGTTTTAATGGTTAGAGGCAGGGCTTGATAAATCCCAGGTCGCCATGGCGACTAGGAAAATTGTAATTTGGGGGATTTGTTTGCCCTTTCAGCCCCCGAAGTGAAAAAGGGCTCACAAATCACCTGAAATCGCAGGCGGGCTTGCAGGCTGCTCATGGAGAGTGGAGAGAGAGGCAGGTAGCAGGGTATGCTATCAAAATCCCCTCGCGGAGTTGGGGAGTCACTTAGTGTGGAGGCGGCAATGGAGCTGTAATCTCTCTGCTCTGCTCCCTCGCACCCCCCGCAGTGATGCTGGGAGCCGGAATTAGAAGTCACTCCGGCCTGGCATACTAAACAGCGCGCGGGGGCTGAGTAGGAAGATGATCGGTGCAGCACCACTGTCAGTGAGTGTCTGTTTAGGTGACCTGCCCCCCTCAAATCACATGGGAAAGGTGTTTTCACTCACCTCTTTTCCCACGCCATTCTCGTTGTGCCACGTCTGGCGCCATCTCCATGGGGAGTTCAGCAATTTTGATCTTATCTCTGTCAATCCAGAGCACTGGTAGATTATTGCGCATGTGCGGCATAACACCACGCTGCAACAATAAACATTGTTGGCATACATTTAATATTCATAATGTTCCATAATTGTTAGCAAGTAGCCTTGGCACATGTGCATGCACAGGGGATCATGCCAAGATGTTGCTGTGTATGAGCTGTATCCAGCTGTACCTTAGGAAATAAGTGGAATTTAAACTTATCTTCTTTCTCTTTGGGCATCATCCCAGTAAACACTTGAATAGCATTTTCTAGCATAAGTAAGTGCGGAAATGTAATAAATCTTTTTAAATTATTTATCTCCTTCAAATAACTTTTCTCCATATATGCACGTTTTTTTTTTTATTATTTACTTATAAAATATTTTACCAGGAAGGATACATTGCAATTTTTTTTTTTTTTTCTTCCCTCTTCTCATGTTCACGTATGCCCTAGTAAGGCAGAAAGAATAAATAAATGTACACACAATTATGCGCTTTTGTCCTTACAATCCAATTCTGAGCAGTTTTGAGAATGCTACTTTGTTGTAGTGTACATTATGTTGTTATTGGCTCAAAGTGTAACCTTCCAGTATGAATAGATGGGAGGTTTAAAATAAGTAAGCTCACTTGTTCTACTGGCAAATTAACAGGGAAGTCCAAAAACTAGATAGAAAATCTGATCTGCAGTCAGGCAATACTTTTGGCATGTTATGTATCTGGTCAGTAAGGTATTGCTGCTATCAAAGTACAGTTGGCAATAGACACACATGTATACATATACATATAAAAAAAAAAAAAACTAACAAAAACCTAGTTCCTTCTCTAATGGCACTAAAAGCCTTAGAGACTCCCAAGTCGCAAGTTAATAATTAAAATGAAGTGAAATAATGAAATAAAAATTACTCAATAAATTAAACGTTAGAATTCTTTTTTTTTTTTTTTAAATCAGTTTTACATTTGATTGTGTCTGTGTGTGTGTGTATGTGTTTCTTTTTAAATTGTCGTTTGCTGGCAGGATTTCAATTGCTTTCAAGACCTCCTTCAAGGGCATGTGAAAGTAAACTTTAGTTACTATTAAAAGTATTTGATGCATTCTTTTCAATATGCATGCTTTCTCAGGGTAAGCTGATATGCAACTCTTAAAGGGACACTATAGTCATCAGAACTACAGCAGGGCTTGACAAATTTGCTTTGAATCCAGGAGAAAGCTAAAAAAGTTAAGAGCCAGGTTTTTTTTCCCCAGTGACAAAAATACAATTCTTAAAGGAACACTATTGTCCACGGAACCACTACAGGTTAATGTAGTGGCTCTGGTGTCTATAGCCTATCCCTGCAGGCTTTCCAATGTAAAAAGGTAGTGTGTTTACATTGCTGCCAAGAACACCTCTAGTGGTAGTCACTCAAACTAAAGGGTCTCCTACCTCAGTGCATTCAGCATCTCCACGCTCTGCATGGAGGCGCTAAACGTTCCCCACAGAGATGCATTGATCTAATGCATCTCTATGAGGACATGCTGATTGGTGCAGCATTTTGCTGCGCATGCTCAATAGCTCCGAATTCTTTCCAATAGGAAAGCATTGAATTGGCCTACATTATCAAGGTTGATAATATCAGCTATGGAGGCAGGCCAGCCGCAGCGAGACCAGCATGGCGCTGGGGAAAAAAGGTGACTAGAAACACCATTTCAAGGGGGGCTGGTGACCTACACATACACACTCAGACAGACACTGACACAAACACCCTGACAAAGATGTTTAAATTTTTTTTATTATTTGATACACTAAAATAGACACACACACACATATTCCTAGATACACACAGTCAAACACACATACAGACATACACACATGATGGATAAACACACTCTCACAGATAAACATACGCACAGAAGTAAAAAAATAAAATATATATATAATATATTTATTTATTTATTGTGGGAGGAGTAAGTCCCCTACTTAAACTCCCAGCCCCTACTCACCGCTGCCGCTCAGCTGATTGTCCTTAGCAACCAGCACTTCCGGTCCAGCTTCCCGCCAGAACTGTACCTGTTTCCAGCAGCCAGACGCCCTGTGCAATCCTCCGTCCGTCCGAGGTCCTTCCACTCCGTTTTCCTCTGGTCGAGGTACCCGACTTCCGGTCACGAGACCGGCGCGTTCACGTAAGCAAGGCGTGGGAATTAGCGTTCGCTATTTCCCCGCCGTTCGGGCCTAAAAACGTAGGGGTAGGCTCCCTCTTTCGCATTTTCACGAATACACGCTTTCGTTAATATCTCCATTCGCGCCAAAAAAAGCACGAACGTTCGGCTCATTTCACTATCATTTTATGCTTTTTCGTACGGAAACAACCGAATAAATATTTCATGTTTAAGCTCATTATTATCTGTATTCACTTTTCCGTTCGGTTATTTCTGCACCAACCTATTCGTATGGTCAAATTCATGTACACCATCTTACTAATTTACATTCGGTTATTTCTATTCTTTTAAGCTAAGCTTGCATAAGTTCTAATCACAGTCCTACTATTATTTATTCCTTCATATGAGTTTACGGTTACATTATATGGTTAACTACCAGCCCTGTGTTTTTCTACCTTGTTAAACCATTTAAAGTATTTTTCTGTTATAAACATGATATTCACCACGGTTCATAACTTCATACGTGTCTAAATTCTAGCTATAACATTCTTTTCCTAATAACACTCAGATAAGTCTTTTTAAACACTATTTACAAGTTATACCCTTTACACATAATCCGTACTATTCCTTGCACATAAATCACGCTGTCACATCTTTTGGCTTTTACAGATTGCATCGGTCTCTTGCTTTTCTGCATTAAAAGTTGTTATTTCAAGGTCCTTTTATTACAGGAACAGGTATGGTTTTTTTTATCACCTTGAGTTATCAGGTTTTATCAATTATCTCCACACCTATTGCTAACTATGGAATTTGTCTTGGTTAAACCCTTAGATCCTTGTATTAATCTAAGCTTCCACCGTTTCTACGCAGTTAACCTGCCACGATTAAACAATCTCTGTACTTTAAACAAAGGTATAGTTCACTCTCTTTTCAATACTAGACCACACGCGGTCTCAACTCCATTACTACCTTCCCTCAGGCTTACGCCCAGGATACGTTATCTCTTTACTACTTGTCTACACAGACTTTCGGTCATACGGCCACCAGGCTCAAGAAGACACCAAAAACCTGACACGGTACCCAGCCATACCTTCAGGTACTTACATCCTTACTCAAGTACGTCCATTCGCTACCCCAAGGCCTCATTCTGCCTTCTCACTCATATCCAAAATCATCCCATTCCTACACCTAAACCTCCCAGATCCCTCAATGCAGGATCTCACGTCGTGCCCCTTACAAACCTTCTCCCTATACTATTCATACGACATCACGATACGTACAAACACATCAAACATCTGTCTTAAACCCCCAGGATTCTTCCTCAAAGACAACATTTAAGACAGACTCTCTACACTTACCAGGAGGCTCCAGATACCATTTGCGACCAGTCAAGGTTAGTATCCACACACCATTCCAGTCCTCTAACTTTACCCTTTAGCATACTATCGAACTGGCTATACGGCACAGGCTAATGCCTTAGCCCACCCTATCAGGAAATCTGATCCCGCGAGGCCTACCACCCCCTCCCCACCTCAACACGGAGGTACGGCCCCACGCCCAAATCATAGTTATAAGCCTCGCATGCCTTACTATAGGGCTCTAGTTAGGGCCTCACCTGTCACGGCCACACGTTTTGATTTCTCTTATCGTCACCGAGAGGCCAACATCCCGCCACCACGCCTGTGGCACCTACGTCATAAGCCAAATCATAGGTAGAGCCTCTCATCGCCACTTGGCATTAGCAGGGCCTCACCTATCCAGTCATTCAATAGTTAAATTTTTTCGCCTCGGCATCTAGCATTAAAGTCCAGTTCTTCAAGACACACCACTCCCCATACCCCCCCCTTCTTACCTCACTCCCCTTCTAATATATCTTTCACATAATCATTCCTTTTTAGAATGTCCCAAGAACCAATTCCAACCGAAGAACTGACAGAAGAAGCACCATTCACGCCAATCAGACCCGTGTCTCTAGGCGAATCACTCACTCTTTCAACCCCCACGTCCTTGAGAGCATGGACTATTCCCAAAATCACAGCCGAGCTTAGGCTCAGGGGAATCCCCTTTCCGGCCACAGCTAGAAAGGCAGAACTTTACAGGCTGCTTA